CGCTGCCTTTCCTCGATGAATCGAGGAGAAACGACTACCTACCGCGGCCCGACCGACCATTCTCGGTCGCGAGATCCCAGAATGACTGCGCTATTTTCCTGTTTCCTTTGCACCCAGCTCTCTCTCTCTCTTTCTTTTTCGCCTTCGAACGATTTCGAAGAATCGAGAACGAAGGAAGAAAACTCGAGGATAATTCGTATATATTTCGAGACGATCGAAAGAACGGGGAGGGGAGAGGAGCGAGAGGATTCGGTAGTACTCGAAGTACACCGGTATATATAGCGTAAGTGGATAAGCGGAGAGTAGTAGGAGACTGCTGCCATCCGCCAACTAATCCGTCCCCTTCGGCGTATGGTGAGTGGCCAGGACGTATCAATCGGAAGGCTGGTATAAGTTTCCGCCGTTGTGGTCCGCCGGTACGGAGGTTAGCTGTCGTGGTCAGTTTCGAATTGCGGCGATGTCAGTGACAGCTGTGCTCGAGAGCCGCGTATTGAACTCACGTCCAGTCACGCTCCTTTATACCTACTTACCTTGTCCCCCCCACCACCACCTCCTTCCATTCTCTCCTTCCCTCTCCGCGACGCTGCCTCTTTCTCTTCTTCCTTCCCTTTCTTCCCGCTTTCCTGACCGCTTCATCTTCTCACCGCGCTCTTTCCAATATACGTATATATTATATATATATGTATACACACATACATATACACTTCGAGAGAAGTTCGTTTCTTCTCGAAAGGAGCGAGGATCGGGTTCTCGTCTAATAGGACACGCCAATCGGTAATAATAAAGCGAGAGCACGAGAGTTTGGTTTACTCTACCCTCGCCGTTAAGACTAAGTATCTATCGGTAAATTCGGTATTTTCGTTTTCTTCGGAGCTGAACGTTGCGTTGCCCCGATCGATCGAAACGTTTCTAGATATTTATTTCTACGATTACGTCTCGATGTACTCGAATAGTATGTGTGTGTAGCATCCACGAATGCGGTGTTTTTCGAAAAGAACAAAGGAAGTTTTGCGACAAAGCGAGCATGAGGTGCATGCCGGGGAGCTGTTTAACTCGCCAATTACCCGGAAAGCTTGGCCCATCGAGACGAGTATTAGACGGGTTTCCAACCACGTTTCTATTTTCTCGTGCACGCCTCTCTTTCTTACTTACTTGTCCGTTGAGAGGAGGGAGGAAGGATTTCACGAGTGCGTTGGCTTCCTCGGTTCCTTCTTTGTTCCGATTTCGTTCGTCTACGAACTGAACTCGGTGTAAGAGGTGGGGAGGAAGGGAGGAGCATCATGATATTACGCCGGAGCAGACGATGCTCCGGAGAACGAGATCGGTGCTCGTAAGGAAGAATAGAGGACGAGGCTGGCGGAGTCGAAGCATCGGTATACGTTTTCGAGACGTTCCAGGACGGTCGCTCTGGGACGCTTCCACGCAACGAGCAAGTCTTATCTTCGCTATGCGCTCGTCGAGGGGTAGGGGGACGGGGGAGGGGGCGTATCAACCCTTCACGGTTTACTTCCGTTATTCTTCGACCGCCCACCAGCTACGCGACGTGCTTGTCCTAGGTTTTCTTCACGAATACGTTTCTTACGTACGAACGCACACCCTTTTCTCTTTCTTCCTTTTTATACGTATGTACATATATGTACACATATATGCATATACACTATATTTTTTTCCTCGACGATCGAACGAGAGAACCGCGCCACGATTCTCGCCCTAGGTGCGTGAGTATTTTTGGAAAGCGGAGGATGGTCGGGCAGAAATTACAGAAAAGCGTGACCGAGAATCGACGAACGAGGCGGACGAGGACAGAGGCCTGAGCGACAAAAAGGGGAGACTTGACGATTTATAATCGGTGACGAATGAGCGCGATCGCCGAGGGAGAGCCCTCGCCTCTCGGCCGTTTTATAAATGTCGCAGAGCAATAAAGACGCTCGATGGATTAGCCGTGAGCCCGGCATTCCAAAGGCAACGGGTTTCTATTCTGGTGATTTGAAACCAGGCACGCGCGTCCAATGAATCAATCGAAATCTCCGTTTTTTCGCTTCCTCGCGCCTCTTCGATCTTTCGAATACCTTTTAGCGTCCGAATCGTCGTTCGAGATTCGTCGACGAGCAGATACACCCCATACCATACCCGGTGTCTATCGCGTTTTTTACGATGGAGCGGCTCGCTTCTGGAGAGTCACCCCTCTCCCAGCCTGGAGAGTCTCCCCTCCCCTCCCCTCCCCTTCCCCACGATCGTTCTTTTTCCTCGGCGACGCCGTGACACGAACACGCGGTATCCCCGCTGTTCCAAGAATTCACGTACGCGTCATAAATAGTGGCCTGCTCGCACTGTGCCGCCTCCGCTTCCCATCCTCGCCCCCTCCGCCTCCCCCTCCCCCTCTCCCTCCCCCCTCCCCGATTTCTCGCACGTTTCGACGTTTTCCAATATTCCAAACTGCACCGATTCCATCTGGGGTCTCCCTGCGTAGCTTCTTCAACGTCGCCCTCTTCTTTCCCCTCCCCCTCCCGCCCTATCCCTCTTTCACCAGCTTCGCGAGTATCGATTCTATAGTATCGAGCGCCGCGGCTCTTCGAATTTTTCGTCGAAGGAGCACGATCGAAAATGGAAAAAATTTTTACGAATCGAATTTCGATCGTTCAATTCTATTGCTTTTCAGTATCTTCGTTTTTTGGGAGCATATATTTCGTTTTCGAACGAAAAGACGAATCGATCGTTGCAATCAAGCAGCGCAAAGATTCGTCGAATTCTTAGTTACTCTCGTTTCTTTTTTTTTTTTTTTTTTTTTTTACATTTTTCATCTATGCATCGAATTTGCCAAAAAACGAATCGAATCGAATTATTCAACTGTTCTAAACCACGGCGAGTGGACGGAATGGTTAAATTCGTCGAAAACACGAATTGGCGCCAAACACGTTTTACGAGCATGCGCATGTCGCTCGGCGTGGGTTTGTTGTGCGTCGACCTTTACCTAACTGCTCTCTCTCCCTCTCTCTCTCTCTTCGAGTCGTAGCTGGCTCCCTTAGCTCTCCTCTCCGCCCGGTTCCCTGGCCTCCCTCTGTAACTACCGCCGCGCAGCCACCCCCGTCGCCAACCCTGACCTGATTTATGGGATTCTCCAAGTGTCTACCCTGCCGACGCGCGTTTTCGAGCCTCCCTACCCCAACTCTCCCCTCCGCTTTCTCTTCCTCTCTCTCGCCGGTGCAGACAGCTGGCTAGCATTTTCACCGACACGCGCTCCTTTCCTTCTCCGCGACCGAACCTTTTCTATCTTATCGCGTTTTTCCCTCTCTCTCTCTCTCTCTCTCGAAAGAGAGAGAGAGGAACGAGTTCGAGTTCGACTGAGCAATCGACTGAGAATGAAAGCCGATTCTGAAGCGAGAGAGAGAAAGAGAGAGAGAGAGAGAGAGAGAGAGAAAGAGAGAGAGAGAGAGAGAGAGAGAGAGAGAGAGAGAGATCGTATTCGAAAAGAGCGTAATTTCGATTTTCGCCTCGCCTTATTTCTCCTCTTTCCCCCATTTTCCCTTCTTCCCTTCCTCGTCCCGTTTTCCCCGCCAGATATGGCCGAGTAATATACGAGCACTGCATCTGTTCTCTCTTCGTGTGACGCAACGTCCTGCCATAGATCACGCCGAGGCTTTTAGAGAGTGAAGGCTGTTAAGAAAAGCGCGACGAGGACAGCCGTGCGGACGGTAGATGGAACGGAGAATACGGAGGGGCGAGGAGGGAACGGGGAGAGGGGAGGAGGAGAGAGAGTAAGGTTGGAACGAAAGAGAGTCTACGTTACGAGGGAGACGAGGAAAGAGAGGGAAAACTCGAGCTGCTATGGGACACAAGGGTAGGAGGTGGGGTGGGGAGGTTGACAGGGTGACGTACCGTTGCTGTTAAACTCGGTTAACAGCGAGAGAAGTAGTGTATCGGTGAGTTCGTTTTTCTCCCCGGCTATTATTCGCCTTTGATCAACCACGAGGCAAGAAACGGATTAAGAAAAGATAAAGATAAAGAGATTCAAGTCCAAACTTGAATCGAAAGTACGAATCGATCGGAGCAACAAAGAATATGACACGAAGAGGCACGATTGATTACGTAACTAGTAGTCGCATGTACGGTGAACTCTCCTATTAACGCGCCTCTTTATCTTATTAATTGCGATTGAGAATAAAATATTTTCGAGAAAACAAAAAAGAAGCAATTCTGATTTGCTGAATTTATCCTTTAGAGAATTCGATATCCTTTTCGAGTCGTTGGTAGAAGAAGGGGGGAAGGAAAGGGAACACGACGGCTAGCTAGATACAAACGGGAAGCGAACGCGTCGCTCCGCACCGCGTCGTGCAAACCATTCAACCGAGATATACGATCGAGAGTTTGTTCGCGTTTATGGGCTGCGTCTGGAAAGAAGGTGGAGTGGGAGGCGAGGGATACGCGGAGGGTAAAGAGAGAAGAGAGAGAGAGGGGGAGAAAGAGAGGCGAGTTGCCGCTTTATCGGAGCACCCTTATGCCTATTATGCCTCCTCATCCCCCGATGGTAGCGGTTTAACGCGCGGCCATCCCCTTGCCGCGCTAGACGTTCGGTCGGTTGCGCGACGCGGTGCCGAGTTCGGCCGAGTTTAGCCGAGCGTGGCCGAGCGACGGCGACTCGGGCCGAGGGGAGCCGAGGGCGAACGACGCTGGATGACGCGGCACGGCGCGGCGCGCGAATTAAAACGGCTCATAAATATCTGAAACAAAGGCGGCCGCTTTCGAGGGCGTACGGTACGAAAGATATACGGCCGGTTAGGATGGCTGGTAACGGGCGGATAAGAGAGGGGGCCGGGGGAAGAGATGTGGCTGCGAAGGGAGGGGATTCGTTTTCCGACATCGGGTCGGGAAAACGAGCAGGGTCGAAAAAAAGAGGGTGGAAAAAAAAAATATTCTTTCCATCCTCGTGGATCGAATCGAGCGTGGTCTCGTGGCCGCGAGGCGAACTATTTTTATGACCATTCTGACTTTTTCTCTTTCAGGTAAGTAGTGGTCTCCGATCGTTTGAAAAGCGAGCGGCCCGCAGCCGCCGCACCGGACGGGAGACATGCGCAGCAAGCAGCAGCCGAGGCCTTCCTTTCGGTGGCCGCAGCAACGCGGCGATAATCTTACCGGTAAATATCCCAACCACACGCAACGCATCAGCACGCACGAGAGCACGCACACGCATCCACCTTATTTGCACGTATTTCTTAGTCTGCGCCATTACTCGTTGCGCTTTTTTTTCCCCCGCGTCCTTATATACATTCGATCTTCCGCTTTTCGATCTTCGTTTCGGGTATCGCGTCTATACCCGATATACGATCCCATTACGTAAACGTAAACGCGTTATCTTTTAAACGTTACGTTAAATTTTTACTTGCATGCGAATAGAATCGTCGTTTCTAGATCGATCTTTTCCAAGATTTTGGCCATCGCACGGATCATCGTAAGCAAAAGGAAAAGCCCGGTTTTCGAAGAGACGGGTCGGTTCGTCGAAAATTAGTCAGGTGTCGTCGTGTGCGCTCTACGTGTGTGTGCATTTCGGTGGAGAAATTAGAAATGCCCGGGGAGATTTATTGGCCGGTTGCTCGGGTGAACAACACCCGAAAGAAGATGATGGTCCTGCTCGCGAAATATCACGACATATTCGCGATACTTGTATAAATCGTTCGAATCTTGGAGGCGACCAATTATAACCGCTACTTAGCTTATTTAAACGATTTTGCCCATCGGTCACGGTCATCGTACGCTCGATTAATACGCGGAAAAGGCACCGCGTTCAGATTCGGCCGAGGAACGAAATTGGCAACGGTCACGGGCTCGAGGTAGAAAGGAGGGCACGTTGCTCTCTCGAAACCTTCCGCTTCCTTATACATATATATATATATATATATACACACACACACCTATCTCTCTGCATCGATCCTTCGGAAGGGAGGGAAAGAGAAAAGAGAGACGCGATATTCGAGGAAAAGCTTGATCGCGCGGCCGAAAAACCAGCCGTGGATGACGATGAGAGGAGATATCGAGCGATCGTTGATAACAGACGCGGATAAAGTACAAGCCGCGTGCGTGTGCCGGACAAACGGGGTCGTGGAGGGACACGCGACTCCTCTCTCTCTCTCTCTCTCTCTCTCTCTCTCTCTCTCTTTCTCCCTCTCGCTCTCTCCAATAGCCTCCGGCCAGGGAATCGCGGCGGTCGTCTCGACGATAACCCTCGAATGACGTGACAAGCGAAATCCCTGTATCCACCGGTCCGGCTGGCGCTTGGATATCGGCGGACGTCTAAATGAACCGTTGTACCTTCTGCTTTGATTTCAAAGAGAGCGGAGGATCCCTAACAGCGGAGGAATATTCATTTAAATATCTGTCGATACTCGAGTCAGACGCGAGGGTTGCACCGATGTCAGCGGCGGACTTATGTGCCCTCCGCGCTCTCCGCTCCCCTCCCACCCTGTCCCCGTTCTCCTCTACGCTCGCACGCGTATCTACCTACCTACCTACCTACCTACCTACCTACCTACCTACCTACCTACCTACCTACCTACCTGTCTACCTGCGAGCGTTGTATCTATACACGCCCACCAGTCCACGTCCGATCTCTGTCGCGGATACGTTGAATCCCGCACTTTGTTCTCGCCATTCAACCATCTCTCCTCGATCTCTTCTCGTCCCTTCACGTTATGCCGCTTCCTCCTTCCCGAGGAGAGGAGAGATTTTTCAAAACTTTCGCCGATCGAATTGTCTTATTCGTCGACGAGGAGGAGCAGTAGTCGAAAGATGATCCGAGAATGGAAGTGGAATGGAACGAGAGGGGGGACGGTCGGTCGGACGGAGGCGCAAGTTTGCTCCCCGAGGCGCCTGAATCCGCGCGGCGGTGCACCAGGATTCCCTCCCGTTCGCATTTCGTTCTCCTCCACTTCCAGCAGCATTTTAATCCAGGGAAACCGGGGGACGTCACTCCACCGCCCCGAATAATCAGGCTGAAATTCGTTGCGAGCGGGCGCGCAACAAAAGAACGGCGGCGATATTAGTCGGGCGAAACTGCGCGCTCTCGCCGCAGCGTCTGTGGAAAAGTCGGGGCCGACATCGCTTGATCCTTCCGTTGCTTGCCTCTCGGCAGCGCCTGGCGATTTACAGGGCTCCTCGAGGAGGAGGGACGATCGTTAATCGGGGGCCAAGCGTTGGATCGATTAATAATCCCCTTTCGCGCGATCAATTGTGCAGTGATCGATATTTCTCTTTCTCCTTCGAGTACTCGTCGCGTGGGGAAGCAAAGTATTTATTTATAAGTATTTTTTTGAAAATTAATATGATTGATGATGATAACTGGACTCGAATCATTCTGTTATTGGGTTTGATTTTTGGATTTTCGAGCAGGAAGGGTGAAATAGATAAGCATAGATTGTAACTAAGATAAAAAAGAAATAGATAAAACATTAGACAGTTGTTATCAGTTTAGAGAAATTATTTTGTGAAAATATTTAAATCAATTGGATTTTTCTGTTATATTAAGAATCCGTTTATATATAGATAAGTTTTGTATTCTAAATATATATCCTTATTCTTGAATATATTATTACAGGAAGACTTTATTTACTTTTACTACTTCGCAAATGAAACAACCGAACTATTTATCGAACCTTAAACGATACTCAATTTTATATCACCGTTATAAAGATAAACAGATAATACGAGGATCATTCGACACATAAAGACAGCAAACCAGTTAATATTTACGTGCAAAATAATAAATTACAGAAGAAACAATTAACCAACCTCGAACTTTCAGAAATCTTCCATTCCCCTCCATTTAAAAAAAAAAAGAAAAAAGAAAAAAAAAGAAGAAGAGAAAATCCACGATCGCATCGATCCATCCACGTAGCCACGAAAAGAAAGAGCATCGTCGTGTTGGCACGGCGAGTCGGCGCGCGAAAGAGAGAGAAAGAGAAACAGAGAAAGAGAGAGAGAGAGTGCGTCGGCGGGTCTCGTCGCGTCTGTTTGGCGCATCGACGCGTTGCACACGTTCGTGTCCGACTTGGAAATAAGAAGAGGGAGGGGGGAGTAGCGCGAGAGCGGGAATGAATCGCTGCCACTCAAGGAGCAAGAGACGGACGCGGCCCGACCCGACAAGGCCGCGCTCTCTCTCTCTCTCTCTCTCGCTCGCTCGCTCGTCCAACAGCAAGCACCACTGAAAACGCCCGCCACCAGGCAAGCCTCGTCGATATAACTGTGTCCACCACCGATAACTGCAAAGTTTCGAGCCACGGTTGCCAAGCGGGATACCGTTCCTCGTCGAGAGATTCATCTCCCAGAAATTCCTCTCCTCCTCGTTTCGGCCGTCCATCCGTCCGCGTATATCTCTCTCTCTCTCTCTCGCGCGCGCGCGAATACGCGTCCATCCAACTCCACCACTCCATCCAACGCGTATCCACTCGGCTTAATTATAATACGAGAGATATTTATTGCCACGCGTATCGTCTATTTCCGTCCGAGGGCCGTAGGTGGACCGGGCGAGAACCGGGTATCGCGATCCAACTCTGGCTTCTCAACGGGGCGCGAGAAAGAAAGAAGGGAGGGGGGGGGGTAAGGAAGAAAAATTTCCCGATTCAGGCGAGGCGCGGCCCTCGCGTGTGTCCGCTTCCTTCGGATTAATGGGAGGGTGGCGCGATAAGAGGGCGGCGAATAATACGAGGTCCACGGGCACCTGCCAGCGGGGCGGCCGATGGCTATCGCGCGACGAACCGAGCCTTTCGAGCCGACGCACAATAGTCGTCTCCCCCTCCCTCCGTCGAAAAGTATCCAGCTGCTCCCCGTACTTTTCCGGCTTCGGTGTTACGCGCGCGGCGGTCTCTCCTCCGCGGAGAGAGAGAGGAACGCTCCTCACGTTCCTACCTTCCCGTGGCGCGCCTCCATCCACGTCAATTATTCCGATTACACACCGTACGGTTACGCTTGTCGGAATCGATCGCGAGCGAGTAACGAGGAATAAAAAGGAGGAGAGGAAGCCATCCGTGGAGAGGAAGACCTCGCTTTCGCCTCTCTCTCTCTCTCTCTCTTTCTCGAGTACTCGCAATTAATATCGCCACGACCTCGATCCGTCTCTCTGGCTTTCGTTTCCTTTCTTTCCTTTCGTTTCCTTTCGTTTTCTTCGCTCGTGATCGGAGAGCGACCGCAGAGAGGCAAAGTTCGAGGAGGCACCCATCCGAGACGGGCTCCCTTCTAGTTCCTGCTCGTCTATCTGTGTAATACGCGTATCGCGAGGATGTGTATGGGGGAGGGGGAGGAGGAGGAGGAGGAGGAGGTTCCGTTGGAAACGTTGACGTTTAATCGACGTTCAACGCTTGTCCAGATCTCGACGAGGGGCTCCGTGTGTTCGAGGATAGAGGGGAGGGGGGAGAAGGAGAAAAGAGAGAAGGGAATGGACGCCAAGTGGACGCGGTACGTCCTCCCGTCCGTCACGTTGCCGCCGTCAGATTATCGTTCCGACACTTTCGAGTTATTCCGGCCATGCGCGCCTTTTCGCCTCTCTCTCTCTCTCTCTCTGCGTAGGGGGCAGAGGAGGGAAGAGGAAGGGGCGATGCTCTTCTCCGGAGGGTGCTTCGAACGTTTCGCTCCTTTTAACCGACGAGAAGAAGAAGAAGAAGAAGAAGAAGAAGAAGAAGAAGGAGAAGAGGGAGAAGGAGAAGTCTGTCCCGTAAGAGACTTGGCGTAAGAGAACGTGGATCGAAGAGAGAGAGAGAGAGAGGAGATTTCGAGAGCCAAGAATCTGGTACCTGGGTATTTGAAGTCCGGTCGACCCGTTTGACCGGTGTCGATCAAATTTCCGAGGACGAGATTATTCAAGGCCGACAACGATCGAGACAAAGCTCCTTTCGCGGCCGTACACCTCCTCCCCCTCCTCGCGCAGACTTTTACTCTCTCTCTCTCTCTCTCTCTCTCTCTCTGTCCCTCGCGCATCCATCCGCCTCCGCGAGCCAATTTCCAAAGCTCTCCTCGATTTCTCTCGTGGAAATCAGCCTCTCCATTCTGCGTGTTATAATAACCGTGGAAACGAGAGAAACGCGCGACACGCGCCTCGTTCGATTAATAAATTCGATCATCGTCCCGGATTGGATTATCTTTTCGGGGG